GGGGGGCCTGGGAGGGGGTCCCTCCCCCGCCGCTGGGTCTGCTGCCCCTTGGGTCCACCCGTGCCATTGCTGGTCTCCCGGGACTGCGTGGGCCGGGGGCAGGCGGTGACGCTGAGCTCTCTGCGTGTGCCCACAGCTGCGGGGCAGAGCCTGGGGGGACCAGAGTCGGGGAGAACTTCAGCAGGCGCCGTGGGATCCCCCCAGCCGGGAGCGCGGGACCGGCACGAAACCCCAGAGGAATCAGAACAGCGCTCCAATTCGGTTCCACCCAACAACGGGAACTCCGGAGTGAACACGAACAGCGAACGGGAGGAGGAGAAGGACCAGCAGCACCAGAATGTGTCTGAGCAGCACAGCAGCCTGGGGCAGCAGGGCGACAGCCAGGGTGGTGCTGGGCAAGACAGTGGTCCAAGCAGCAGCAGCCAAGGCGGCAACACAAGTCCCCAGGCCAGCAGCCCCGGGAGCCAGGCCAGTAGCCCCAGTAACCAGGCCAACAACCCCGGTAGCCAGGGTAACAGCCCCAGTAACCAGGCAAACAGCCCCAGTAACCAGGCCAGCAACCCCGGTAGCCAGCGTAACAGCCCCAGTAACCAGGCCAGCAACCCCAGTAACCAGGCCAGCAACCCCGGTAGCCAGACCAGTGACACCCAGAACCAGGGCAACAACCAGGACAGCAGCAACAAGGACAACGGTCAGGATGGCAGCAACCAAGGTGGTGGCAACGAGAACCAGGGCGAGAACCCGGACACCAACCAGAACCAGGACACCAACAAGGACACCAGCAACGAGAACCACGTTGACAACCAGGGTGGCAACGACCAGGACCACAGCGATGACAAGCACAGCGGCAGCAACGACGCAAACCAGGGCAACAACCAGGAGAATAAGGACAGGATCCAGGGCAACAACCAGGGCAGCAACAGCAATAACCAGGGCAACAACCAGGAGAATAAGGACAGGAACGAGGAGGATAAGGACAGGAACCAGGGCAACAACCAGGAGGTTAACAACAGGAGCCAGGAGGGTAACGACAGGAGCCAGGGCAACAACCAGGGCAGCAACCTCGAGAACCAGGGCAGCGACGGCAATAACCAGGGCAACAACCGGGATAATAACGACGGGAGCCAGGAGAAGAAGGACAAGAACCACGGTGACAACCAGGGCAGCGACGGCAATAACCAGGCCACCAACCAGGGTGATCAAGTGGGCTCGCCGAAAGACAAAAGCCCGTCACCGCCACCAACTTCCTCCGCTGCTGAGAGCGACAGCTTTTTAGACGATGGAGGAAGCCCCGGCGAGGAAGAGGAAGGGGCGAAAGAAGGCAGCGATGCCTCCTCCTCTAATAAGGAGAGAGAGAAGAGCATCCCTTCCCTGCCCAGGGACCAGTCGGAGAGCAGCCACTTCTTCGCCTACCTGGTGACCACGGCTGTGATCGTTGCCGCCTTGTACGTGGCGTATCACAACAAGCGCAAGGTGAGCGGCTCGGGCCGGGGGCCCTTCCCCTCGCCCCGGCTTTCGGTTCTCACCGGTACCTCCCGCCCGCGGCGCGGCGTGGGTTTGGTTCGCGGTCTCAGCACCTCGGGGGGGAGCGGAGGGGGCTGCTGGAGCCAGGAAAGGGGTCGGATCTCCGCGGGGGTTGGGCGGCCTCAGCTCTGGTGGTTGTTTTCAGCTGAGAGAGGCGAAAAGGAGAAGATGTGTGAAGTTACCCCGCCGTTTGTCGCTGACGAGGAGTTTTCTAGAGCAGGTCGCGGAAGACTTGGCCTGAAATAGTCTTCCACGGGGGGCTGCAGCTCAAATGACGTAACTGTCCTTTGCTGGGTTCTTTTTTTCCTCCTGTAAAGCTATTTTTGAGGCAGGAGAAAGAAAACAAGTTCTTCCTGTTTTCTGCATGTGAGGCAAACCTCATCACCGCCTGCTTTCAGCCTTAGCTGGGTTTAAATGTCGGCACTGATCTGTGTCGAGTGAGACGCGGTCGCTAGCGGGAGGTGGG